AATTATATCACTTTATATGTGCATTTTTCTTTACTGGAATATATTTTGAATCTTCAGCTTCTCTAAGCTTCCTACGCAGTGTGTGGACAATTTCCCTCTTCCAATTTTTCTTCCCAGTGCCATCTTATTTTGCATTTCATTGCACTATTTGGAAGGACTGCAGTTGATTCCTGCAGTTCCCTGACAGTATCTTCCAGCCTAAGGAATTTAGGTATCTTCATTTTCTTGATTTATCTTTTTTCCCCAAAGATTTAGTTTATCTCTGACATCTAAGAAACATAACGAGCAGCAGTGCTGTTATGTAACTGTCCATATTTTTTTCAAACCTGAAAATTATAAAAGGTCCTTTTTCCATCCACGGTATGAAGACCTATATCCAACTTACATACATCAGTAACTATGACAATAGAAAAAAAAAATTTCATTACTCCAGACAGTTGAAAGTTTAGCACAACAAAGCAAATAACTACTTAGTAAAATGCTGAAGTTCTGCAAGTGTAAACAAACAGAATAAGGAAATAAAACTCCATACCAAACCATCAAGATTTCATTAAGAATCTTGATTTATATATAAACCTTTAATTTAAATGTATTTCTCTTCTCATTTGGAAAATTTGGTGTTGAGTTTTGATGTGTTTGTTCTGTATAATAAAGTGGGATACAAAATTAGAAAGAAATGAAAGGAATGAGGCTTCTCACATTATCACAAGACTTCACGATGTGTTTCTTTAACAAAACACTAACTATTGCATAGACTGGAGTGAAACTTGGAAACCCTGGAAGCTGACATGCCAAATGCATCATAACTCCTGTTTAATAAAAGCTTTGTAGAGTCTATGACAAGTCTGTAAAAGTAGAGATTTTTCTTTGGGAGACAGCCAATATGCTCCAGTTGTACTCTGAAAGACTTTAACTCCAAAGCCTAAATATACAGCTATATCAGAAAAAGCTGGACTGGCGGAGGAAGGAGAAAGGGATTACCAATGAGGTAGATAAAGTCAGACAATTTAATTGTAAAATTTTGCTGTAGACAATACAAGTAGTATTTTGATCTCATTATGATGGGCAGAGGTGATCTTTAAGCCTGTTGATGTCCTATATGCTATTTTGGTTACCACAACGATAGTATCATATCGGCTATATTAGTTTTTTACTACTAAACAGCTAATGCAAAAACAAATCCTTTTTGTGGTCAGACCGAGACCTGAGAGTCTGAAACTTGACTTGCTTAGGTATTTGAACTCTAAGTGGCCTGAAACTAGATTTATACTGAATTTCTTGACTCTCATGTAGCTCACTATCCGGCCTATTGTTTTCTGCAAGGTGTGAATTTTTAATTGAGATATAGAACATAGTCAGGTAGTTTCAGGACTGAGTGGTGATTGCTGTTTTCCCAGTTCTATTTTGTATAAATATAATTAAAATTGCAGTTAAGTAGGTTGTAGAATAGAGGTACTGCAACCTCCTAGTGAGTTTTCTCACTAAAATGCTGCAGAATTATAATTTTCTTTATTTCTGATTATTGATTTGGCATGGACCGGAACTACTCCAAGAAAAGGTATTAGAAATCTTTTCCCCCAGATGTTCTATAGTTTGAGCAGTCTCAGTTAATGCTTCATATCTGAGAAGATTATATAGAAACCTCGTATGAAAAAGGTAGTAAGGGAACCCAAAGCTCGGTTCTTGTAGCTCCCAGGTAAATGTCTTTCACTGTAAGGAACCTTTTTTCTTAAGTAAATATTCAAAACATTTTATGAAAATGGAAGATCTCCAGCAGGGAGACTGTGGAAATCCCAAATGAGATTATGGAGTATTTGCCCAATGCTGCATCCCACTAGAGCAAATATGGTAGTTCCCATTTCCTTGGGCACTGGCTGAGCTCTTCAATTTTCTGTTCAACCAAAGTTGCTATCTTGTTAAGAAATAGAAAGAGACACCACCTTCACCTTTCTGAGGATTTTTTTAAGTCAACCAAAGAAATACTTTTAGCTAATGCTTGTTTCTGTTGAAGAAAAAAATGTTGATTCATATTTGACTGGATTCTTTTGTGTTTGAATCAGCTGCTATTATTTTCAAATTTAAGTGGAATGTGAAACTTCCTTAGTAATATGATATTCAACTACAAGAAACATCAGAGGATATGGCCCACAAAATAACCAAAAGTCCTGATTAATCAAAGTTTAGGAAACTGAAATGAATGGCAATCACAAATTAGGAACATTAGTTATAGCATGTTGCATGATAACCTTTAATGTAGCACATTTCTAGGACACTATTTTATTTGAGATTTTAATAATAAATGCACCTAATTTGAAGTAAAAAAGCTCAATTATTTTTATCTATTTTGTTGTTAGAGTTGTAAAAGTAGTGCTTTGTGTTATTCTGATGGTTCTAACAGTCACACCACAGATGCATTTGGCCCTTTGCCTTTTGGATTATAAGCAAGTCGTAGAATGTTGTTGTTTGAAAGCTAAAGTAAATCAGGCTGTTATGAATTGCTAAATGCAAGATCAAACCCATAATCCTCTTTGGACAACTGCTAGGAAAAGAAGAAAAAAAAAAAGCACAACTGTGAACCATGTTTTTCAGGCAGAACAGAATTTCTTGATTTTTTTAATCATATTCTTGCAGGTTAGCTGGTGAGTTTAAGAAGCTGTTATCATCAGGAATTAAGATAATGACACTTATCAGTAGATGGGAAATGTTAGCATCAGGAATTGAAAGAAAATACTTTGATATTTCTGTACTGATTCTTACCTCCATTTGACATAAAAGTCTTGGCTGAGACAACATAGAACTAACAATTAGGTCTTGTAAGATAATAGATTGGGAAATTTACCACAAAAGCTTTATAGGAGACTTGTTTTTCTGTGGTTGTCCTAAAGAGCAGATGCAATCCTTTTTGCAGCACTTTGGCTCTATCACAGGTACAGCAAAAAATAAAGCAGCTTCAGTGTAGACACAACGGCTTCCAGTAACAAGGTGCTGATACTTAAGGCAAGAGTGTCCTCACAGCATTTCCCTAGACATTCATTTTGGGTGCATGTGCGCTGCACAAATACAAGGCTGAAAATGCTTAAGAGAGCTGATATGAGTCCCTAACACAGCACCAAAACTATTAACATTTGATCTTTTCATCAAAAGCTTCTTCATATAAAATAATAAAATGGATTTGGAGGTAAATCAGTTCTTTTTTCTGAAAATGTTTGTAGTTGGAATAAAAATTGTGAGCTATTAGGTGCAGGGGAATAGCATAGTTCACCTTCAGCAGTTCAAAAAGGAGGAGAGTAGGATGGGGTGAAGATTATTTTATAGGGACATTGAAGCAGGGATATTCTACTCCTTTCATTGTCTTTTTTTAAAAGGCTGAAGCTTGATGAAAGCTATTTTAAATGTCTTTGGTGTATTTTTAGTTGTCTAAACTCACCACTGAGAGGTGTGATTTAGCTGAATCCAGTGAAAATGTGAGCTCACTTAATGATCAGGATGGAAGTTCTGCAAAGGGAACAACAACACCCTTAAGCCCTCCTAGGCTTTACAATATGTGGAGTTGTCAGTAACTCCTTCAGAGCCTCAGCTATCGCAACTTACAGAGTTCTTCTGAGCTTCTGCACAGAGTGCACCAAGCAAAAATTTACTGACCTAAGTGCACTCTGCACTTGTATGAGGAATTATCTATTCAGGATAACAGAGCACTAGGCTGAGGTTTCATATATTTGAAAGATGCTGGCAAAATTTAATAAATTCATCCTGAGCACTTATGTTCTATCATTGTTGCAGATTCTGTAGAGAAAGGTGAAAAGACAGTTGTGAAAACAGTTATATGGAAGGAAGTTATGAAAAATACTATTACCTACTTTGTAAATTAAAGAGGGATTCATTCCCCTAACCTTACCTGGATTAGCCATATAATCCAAAAATATCATCTGGGATCACTGAGTGAAGTAGGAGAAATAGATTCAAAAGGCAATTTGTCCTCCCTATGTTACTCATCTGTCAGCATAGGGAGAACCACTCTCCAGAGGTACTCATGTGCCTTCATAGAATCATAGAATCATGGAATAGTCACTGACGATGAAGCAGCCCACACTGGCAGACTGGTTTCTATGGAAAAAAAATAAAAATATACATACATATTGGAAAAACTGTGGGTTTTTCTTGCAAAAATCAAAGACTTTTCCTCTTGCACTTTAGCCAAACATCTCTAGCCAATCTTCCCCGCTCCATTTTATACTCTTTCCTCCGGGCCTTTCAACACAGACACGGAAACCAGATCAGTGCATTCCTTTTTGCAGAAATCTTTGTGGCAGTGCAGACTATTTCCATGCTATGGCCTCTGCCTCCCCTCGTCTTCTTTTCTGTAGGCTAACAACTCTAATTCAGTCACACCTAAACTGGACACAACACTCACACCGAGTCTTCACTGGAACACAGGGAGGACAAATGATTATTTTGTGTCATTTCCAGGCTCCATTTCTTTTCACAATTTGTAATTAAAAGTTTGCTATTTTAAGAAGAGTTTATCACATTCAGATTGTGATTCTCTATAACATTTATATCCTTTTCCTTCTGATTGTAACTACACTCTGTCCATCCAAAAAAGACCTTTGTTCACCTTTTTCACTTAAGTTTTTCATGGAAATATTTATAAGATCTCAGATTATTATTATCAAGCATATTTTGGTTGTTCTGAAAAAATTTTACAAAGGGTAAAAAACATTCCTCTTACCCTTTTCTAACATTATGCAAGTCTTTATTTGAAATTAATTTTGCTGTAATTCCTACCATTCCTGTTTTTAAGAATGGAGATCACCATCTAAAATAACCAATTCTTCTCAAGTACCTGCTTGTACCTTATCTTTGTGAATTTCTCTATGCTTTAGGTACCAGTGTTCCTATAATTCCTAATAAATGTTATTCATTTGTAATGCCATCTTTAATTTCAGCAGTGTTCTTTACAGTGTCTTTTTTTTTTTTTTTCTTCTTTGCTTTTTTTTTAGAGGGTAAAGGAAAAAGGAGAAATCCTCTTCATGACTTCAGAAAAACAGGAGAGTTGATGCTCATTAAAATAAACAAAACACTGGAAATAAAAACCAAGCTGTTAAATACCACTGAGCAATGTGCCAAGAGATGCAGCAGGAACAAAGGCCTTTCATTCACTTGCAAGTAAGTTATGTATCTCTGTTTTTTTTTTCCTAACAGTACCTATATAATTCTCTTTGGCCAAAGGTCTGTCTGTAATTGTCATCAGTGGTAGCTTGTACTGAGGACAACCTAAAGATTGTGCTTTTTGGATTTCCATGATCTTGTTCTACCTGTCCAGAGAGTGTTAGTCTTTTCTGAAGCTTTATCTGAATTGTTCTGTCTTCTTATCTTGTCCAATCTGTAATCTTTTCCATAACATAGGTGAAAAAATGTACTCATGTTAAGATGTGGATGACTTGTGCTGCACTGTAGTGTTCGGTGAACATTTCTGAGATTTTTATGTCTCTTATAAAATGGTTATTGTCACACATCACAGCTGCAGTATTTCAGCACCACTTCAGACCATATTCTGTCTTCATTCTTTGCACATTACTCCCACTGAAATCAATGGGAACCTCGCACATGGAACACAGATACATGCACTGCTGAAGTTCACTGGCAAGTACTACAAATCTGATACAATGGAATCGAACCTTCTGGGCTGCACAATCACTACAAGTATACGATAGCTATTCTTCAGCATCTGCTGTCTCTTCGAAACACATCATGCAGCTGATTGCTTGTCTGCCTTGTACATGTTCTCTACTATTTTTTGGAACAAATCACTATTATTTTTCCCGTGTATTAGACTTAAATTATCCCCCTGGCCTCTCTTAGTCTAGACCATTAGCAATAAATGAAAGGACATGAACGCCGGAGAATCTTGGAGAGAATGGATGACTTCTGTACTGGTGAGTACTGGGCTAAATGTGAGCCTGATCTGGAAACATAAAAAAGTTTTGACAATCACTACAAATGGAAGCTAGACCAAATGTGATAACAAAAGCTCTTCCTTGGCAGAAAAGATCCTCGACTGTAATTTCATCCTTCTTTAAGCCTTTAATTCCAGTATTGCAAGATCTAGTTTGTATCGTTTTGTACTTTGACTATTTATATATGTAAACAATGAGCAGAGCTTACTTATTTCTGTTAGAAAATTGTTCCAGGCACTAATATTTTTCACATGGTACAAGCCACTCCTTTTCCTACTGGCAGAGCTTCCATGATATCATTGCCAAGTGGATCAGGTTGTATTCAATACAGCAAGAGATCCCTGACTTCTGATAGTCAGCAGTGAGGAGTATTATGAAATAAGGTTTCAAAGCATAAAAAAATTCTGAATGACACCAAGCAAACAACAATTCTATATTTCAACATCTGCTTAGGAATATTGTCTCAAGCTAGTTGTAGCTGTGCTGGCTGGTATGTTTTACATTCTGAAAATAAAAAGTGGGTTAATATATTTGTTGATTCTATTTTATATGAATAATAATCTAGAATCTCTCTGAATTTTTATTACTTTCTCATTTGTGAAGAATTTTTGCTATTGGGACAGTGTCTGATGGATTCATTAAGGGGCAAATTCTCTCTGCAGTAATCAGTCATAAAGCAACATAGAGGAGCCATGGGGACTTTGAGAACACATCTTGGAAGAATCCTACTCACAGATAGCAGAATAGCAATCAGTCATGTAACTATTTTGCACTGCTGATGAAAAAGAATTGCAAATCTGACTAATCGTGCTCTGAATCTGCAATTTTCCCCGACACTTTTTTAGCAAGGAAGGCTAGCAGCAGAGGTGTAGGTGGTTAGGTCTTGCCTGTGCTACCGCTATGCAGCAGAGCAAGAGGGATTTTCTGTATCTGGGAACATTCTTGTGGTTTCCCATTTGGCCCCAGATGAGTCCTGTTGTAGCATGCATACTTCTTTGATGCTACTGTAAACATATATTTGACATGTGTTCCCTTTTAAAAGAATCAGTGATTACCAATGTTTCCCTTGTATTCCTAGGATCCCCAGTCTTTAACTTCATACCAGCATATGGTTACTACAAGGTGATATTTGTTGCCAACTTAAATTAAAAACAATTTACTGGTTGTTGTGGGAGCATTTTAAAATAAGAAGAGAAGTAACACAAAATGGCATTTTAAATACTTGAAATATAAGACTTGGATTTTCCTTTGTTTATTGACATTTTCATGGCTTTATTCTGATGCTCCATATCCATGCAGTAGTTGTCCATCACTTGGGTCACAGCACTGATGTTTCATTTTCTGGATGCAAAGTCAATTTCTTTAAGTATTAAGATCAAATAAAATAGAAATACTTTGTAACATAATTGTGACAATAGCACTGGGAGCTGCAACCCCTGGGTCTGTGCCCTGTGAGGTACACAAGCAGGAAGAGCGTTGGGTTTCTTTTCTGCCAGAAAGTGGTAAAGTAGCAGATTCCAGGCACTACAGACTTAAAAAGGATCAGCCATTCCTTATTTTCTGGGGGAAAAAACAAACAAACAAAAAACAACTTTTGATTTATTTATGATAAGTTTCTGTATCACTTGCAAGTAAATTGTGAGTATTATATTTGATAATCATTAATCCTTGCTGTTTTTAACTCTGGCATCTTTTTGTTGGAGCTAATATATGTCAGAATGGACCTTTCCTCTTTTCCCTTGCTATCATGCTTGCACAGATCTTGATCATTTCCAACTGAGATACAAGATCCTTATCTAAACTCTTCTTCTTCATAACACTATTCCTAAAACCCTCATCAAAATACCCCTTAGATTCATTTACCTCATCTTTTTGACTTCATAACTCCCTGTGCATTTCTGCCTTCCCTATCAGCTTTACCAACCTGCTGCTAACCTGTTCTTATTCCTTCGTTTCACCTCCATTTGCAGTCCATTACTCCCATGGTTTTCCTGCAGTCAGCCTTGCAGCATTTCCCACTATATTTCTTATGGATGAGAAAAAGATAATATAGTTACTATTTTATTGGCTATGCAGACGACTTTTGCAGACATGTCACTTCTTTACCTACAAAGCTGTGCCTGTCTTATCCTTTGTTATCTGCTTAATTTCTAGAGTGTCTTTGTATTTACATAGAAAGGGATTCCAGCATAGACCACAGGATTCCAGTATCTGATCAGAAAATCTACTGACTATCTCAGTACAAATAACAACAATAAAAAATGTTGTGATCGGCAGTATCAGTGAAGAAAGTCCAAGAATTTGCTTAAATATGTTGACTTTGGAAGTGTAAAACCCCTCCAGATTTGGGTCCAAGAAAAGATTGTTAGAAACTTTTATGTGCAGAAGTGGCTGAAGCCAAACTGGAAAGAAACCAAAAGGCAACTGAAAGGCAAAAACTGAAAGAAATGTTTGTAAACAGTGCATTCTGCATTACCACTTTAGGAGGGAGGAGGGGAAAGGAGAATGTAATTGGAAAGTCAAGAAAGGTCAAGGGTATTTTTGTGAAGATGGAGTTAGAGGCATTTGGATACGCTCATATTTGAGAACCAGCCAGGAGAGAACAGAAGGCTGAACAAGGGCAGAAGGATGAAGGTTAGCAGGTTGGAAACATTTGGAGTCAACAGAGTAGAGAGAGCAGTTGGATGAAAAATCTGTTTGGTGATGGAAACGATAATGAAGAGGATGTTTGAAAGAGAGAAGAGTGGGGAGGTTGGATAGGATCTTGTAATATTTTTAACTGAAGCCAGCAAGATCTCACACAGAAAAACTTGTATGGCGAGGGGAATTAAATGAAGATCAAAGAGCTTTGATTTGGGGGATGTAGTGCTCAGGAATATGGCACAGCCAAAGTATGGATGAAGTGTAGGAAATCTGTGTGTCTTTTGGATATGGTCAAGTAGTGTTAAAATGCCTTCTCAGGTCGGAATAAAATATCTCAGAAGGTTTGGGATGACTGACAGAAATGTAGACTTTGTGGTGGTCTAGAGACAATAGTATCATGTCAGTGATTTTTTTATTTGGTTCTAATGAGAACTTAAGGGAAAAAAGAATTTTCAGTGGTTTGTTTTTGTTTTTGTTTTGGGTTTTTTTTGTCTTATTGGAATAACTGTTGCCCCCACTCAGGCAGTCAAATTTAATATATTTTACCTACACTTAAGGAATTTCCTTTCAAAATGATGTTAGGAGAAAAAGGTCTGCACATTTCATTTAAAATATTGAAAAAAGTGTTTTTACTCTTCTGTTTTCTGTTTGTCTGTCTTGCCCCCCCAAAATCCACTCAATTCAGCACACATTGTACTCTGACCTTGAAAGTAGTTAAAAATAAGAGAAAAAAAGAAAACAAAAGCAAAGCAAGGACAAGCTGTAGGTACACTATCACAGTTTAGATTATTCATAAAAATAAAAATAATCTTGTTTTTAAACAGCTCTGTTGTTCTAGTCAAGAAACAGACTCCTTGTGCTTGAATTTTCCTCAAGCCACCAGTGTGAGACACTTAACTATTTCAGAGGCATATTGTAAGCAGAGAAAAGATGTTTTAGAGTCTTCTTTTTTATTCCCCAGAAAGCAGCACAACTGGAGACACAAACGCTGTCTCAGTCACATTTATCTCACTTTTAAAATAAAGATCTTAAATGACAAGGGAACTCTTAGATTAGTGTGAACAACCAAGCTGGTATTTAATGTAATGGTCACATCAATTTAATTTCTTTGTTTCTTTGTTCTTGTCAGCACAGTTGTGGGTTTAAATAGTAATTTGGGCTGTTTCTCTGACTTTCCCAGTAAAAATAAATCCGATGTCATTGCATGCTCCTTGGCAGGCCATGTGTCATTATTAAAAACCACACAGAGATTTTTTTCTCATCCAGATTTTCTTTGCAGGGCCTTTGCTTATGACAGAGTTACAAAACGATGCCATTGGTTATCCTTCAACAGCTTGACAAATGGTGTGAGAAAGAAGCAAGACCATGCGTTTGATCTGTATGAAAAGAAGGGTAACTGATTTATTTACTGATTTTGTTTTTCCAGCTATGGAAGGGAAAAAAGCTGAAGTCAGTCAGTGACTTTTTGGCTGTAGGAGCATTCTGGGCATGGGATGGTTTTATGCATTCTGAAAGCTACATCCTATGGTTTTACTTACAAATATCCTGGGTTTGCTGTCATGCAAGTTTGTCTACATACTTTCTCTTGCTCAATTTTCCAGCCTACATATTTGCCTACCATCATATGTACTAGTCTGAAGCACTACTTCAGTTTACTACTTAAAAGCTCAGTTGTATGAATTACTGTTATTGACTTAATATTGCTTTTATTTACCTCATTAATGAATGGGGGACTTAAGTCCTCAGACATGGACTTTTGGTCAGTCAAACACTTTGGAAACATTTTCAGTAGCTTTCTTTGGGAAGTTAATGATCAATATTTTGAAAAAAAAAGAGACAAGAACGTATGCGGACAATTAAACAGTATTTTGAATAATTAAGTATTTAAAGGCTATCAAAAATATATTATTTTTATTTGAAAACTGATGATAAGCTTTGATTTTAAATACATTAACCAAACCCCTAATTTTCTTCTCTTTTCTTTCAATAGACTATGTCAGGAATTGTATCATTGGGAAAGGAGCAGACTACAAAGGAACGATATCTGTTACCAAAAGTGGTATTCAATGTCAAGCCTGGAATTCAATGATCCCCCATGAGCACAGGTAAGAGTTCAGGAGCAGAGACAATGGGAATAGTGCTCAGACAGCTTCCATAAAGCATGGTTTGACTTATTAGCAGACAAAGAATTTATGAGAAAACTGACCTTAGACAACAAAATCTCTTAGGTGTATTCTTGCCTTTCCCCAAGAGATGCTGTTCTCCAGATCCCAGAAAATCCTTACCTTCTTGGGCTTTCTCCAAAGAGGTCTCTCCTAATGCCAGCCTGTGTGTCTGGATCCCTTCCTTTCCTGTGTCAGTTTTTTTAGCTGTTTATATCCTTTTGATCTCTTAGCTACTGGCAGAAACAAAATATCTGCATAACTTCAGCCTGGGGTCTGGAAGTTTATCTCTGTTTCTTAATAGTCTCCCAGGAAATGGATAATTTAAAAAAATACATTATTAGGAAGTGAGGGATACTAGGGATATTAGCCCACCTATTTGATCAGTATCTAATTATTGTTACTATATTCTGCATGGTTACTATTAATTATTATTTGTAGAATATGTTAAACTCTATAAAGCACTTAGACCAGACAACAAATACATGGAAAGGACTGAACAAATTATTGAAATCCTTTCCTTCAGATCATACGAGCAATAACTAAAGACTGATGCAGCAGGTATGGGACTTAACTTGTGAGTTTAAGACCTGATATAATGAGGAACTGAGGCCATATCTATGCCTTGAGAGTAGACTTAGTTCAGCTGTACTAGCTAAGGAAAAAGAGAAGAAATCCAAAAACTGAAGCCAGTAAGAGTAATGGTAAAAACAGATTCAACCACAACAAATGTTGCTGGAAACTAGCAAAAGGACTGTGAAGTACTGGTCTACTCTTTGACCATTTCTCTTTGAACCTTTTTGTGTTGGCTTTAGCCATGTAAATAATAAACCCTTAAGAGCCAAAACCAAAGTGTCCTCTCATCCATAAGCTTCCTATCCACCTTGCTGCCTTTTGCTCTGGACTCCCAGCATCAGCACTTTGTTTAGGAGGAGCCAAGCTGGAGATTGCTAGTGAGGAACTGGGCTTTGCACTGCTCAGTCCTGTCCTGACCAAATCTATCCAGTGTGCAAGATGGTATCTTGGAACAACATTAAAAGGCAAAGGATACTTGGGTTCTCTCCTCTTACGATGTGTTACAAAGCTGAGCCTCAGGCTTGGACTTGACTGGACTTGGCTGCTTATAATATAGATGGTAGTGTGCCTGATTTTCAGTGTGGGACCAGACCCGCTCTTACTTGTGAATGTATGATAAATACCATCAGCTCCCACAGCAATGACCTCTTGAGACTCAACACCTTGAAGTATAGAATCTTCATCTTCTAGAAATGAAAGAATTCTCAATAATTACAGCTTAAGCAAAAATGAGCATTCGTTCTATATAATATACATATGACTTTATATAATTAAAGAAAAAAGTGTCTGGATAGTATATATTATCACTAAATTGCATTTTAATATACAGCATACACAGCTTTATCTAATGCATTTGGCCAGCCACTCTTCTATGATGTATTTTATGAGAATGACTTTTCTCCTGCCTTGTGCAATAAGTTTAATTCTTAAAAGGTCACTGGATAAATGAGGCGGCTGCATGCTAATTTTGTTTTTCAACATCAGAAAATATGATTTCATCATCAGAGACATGAGGGAGATGGGAAGAAGCAGACAGTAGTGGTGTGTTTGGAACTTATTAGTGTGAAAGGCTTAGATTTTTAGGTCAGTTTTTCTCAACATCTGATTATCACAAAGTGCCATTGGAAAATAAATCCCTTTTTCATATGCAAGGGAGAAATGCACTTTACTGATTTTTCATTATCTTTCTAGAAAGAATTAAAATAACTTCAGACTTTAAACTTGTGCTTGGATTTAACAAATTATATTTTTATTTATTTGTATACCAGTAGAACCTGGAGACTCCCAGCTGAAATCAGGGTCCCATTATTTTTGTCTCCATCCTAGTGCAGATTACAAGACTAACATTTTTGTTTTGCTCTTAAGAGTGTTCTATCTAAATGGATAAAACCGATGCAAAAAGGGTTCAAAGAGAAATGGTCAAAGAGTAGACCAGTACTTCACAGGCTTTTAGCTAGTTTCCATGACTTTTGCTGTGATTGAATCTGGTTTTACCATTACTCTTACTGGCTTTAGTTTTTGGCTTTCTTCTTTTTTTCCTTACCTAATACAGTTGAACTAAAAAGAGTGTTCTATCTAAATGGATAAAACCGATGCAAAAAGGGTTCAAAGAGAAATGGTCAAAGAGTAGACCAGTACTTCACAGGCTTTTAGCTAGTTTCCATGACTTTTGCTGTGATTGAATCTGGTTTTACCATTACTCTTACTGGCTTTAGTTTTTGGCTTTCTTCTTTTTTTCCTTACCTAATACAGTTGAACTAAATCAGCACACAGTTTTAGGAGTGGCTCTATCTTCCATTTCTGCATGGGTCTTTACTGCATCTCACCTTTTCCTCCCTCAAGAATGTTGCTTCAGTACCTGTATATTTGACCCATCTTGAGTTTATAATGCTATTCATTTTGACATTTTTTAATGTTCTGACAGCATATCTGACGTAATTTGAAATGCCTTTTCCCTATATTTTCTAATGTCCATAATTTCTGAGCAGAAAGATTTTCCAGCAGGAAAATTAAATAAAATTTTCTAATATGCACTGACATACTACATTAACACATACACAGGTTGCGATGTCCCATCAGAAAAGTTTGCCCAGGGCTGTCTTTAGCTAAGAAAAAATTTGAGAGATTTATATTACAAGACTACAGAGGAAAAACAGAAGCAACAATTTTATAGGTAACAGTAATGACATAAAAATTATTCTTTTCAAGCACCAAAAGTAAGAAAAGCACTTTTAAATAATGATTCCACATTGCTTTGACTAGAACCACAGTGTAATTAACAGAGGTATTTTCCACTTCATTTAGTTCAAAGATTTCATTAATGGGAATAAAACTTGATTAAAATGTCACATGTCAGAATTTTCTTTTTGTTTCTCTCTCTTTCCCTCTCTTATTATTTTTAATTTATTCATTTGTTACATAGAATTTGCCAAGGACAGCAGGAACCATACATTTATATTCTGCTTTTGTATATAAATTAAATCAGTGTCTGTGTATAAACACTGTCCCAAGTGCTTAGTTTAGTTTCCTAAGCTGCAAGTGTCTACAGTCATCTAAAAGAAGTTAGATGACATTTCATTCCTTTTTTTTTCCTCTAGAATATAGATACATTTGAATTCCCTTGGTGATTAAAAAGCCCACACCAAAACAAAACAAAACAAAACAAAAAACCAACCCCCCCCCCAAAAATAAAGTATTGGGCATTTTCAGAATAAAAGGTGCACTTTGCTTGTGATATTTCCACCAGAATTTAAATATACTGAAGAAAAAAAAGTGGAACAGATCTAGGAAGCTCAAAAATTAAATCAATTCATTAAGTTGAATTACAAGTTTTGTGTGATCCCCTAGGTATTTTGCCCAGCTTTTCAATTAACATCAACAACAAAAAATCTTCATGGAATTGAGCATACTCTGAATTTAATGTGTTTTTTAACTACAAAGATTTAGCTGCTGTTTAAGCATCACTGCAATGAAACTGGCAGTGAAGTGTCACCGGGTTTGTCTGCAATGTGCAGCCTAAGGGTGGCCATGAGCTCTTGCAGCAGCATTGAACAGAACCAGCCTTGGGGTTGGGCTGCTTACTATAGGGTTACTGGTTCCCTAGTTTGTGGGAAAGAATAACGAGTAATACTTTTATGTATAAATATATATATACACGCCTACGTATATCTCTATATGTCAGTGTGTATGTGGGGGTTTCTCTAGAGGTAAACACATAATTTTACAGACAGCTAAGAACACAAAACCTTGACTCTGGAGAGTTTATATTTGATGGACTGAGCATAAGCAGCAAAATCTCATACTGAAAATGTGTGTTAGGCAAAAAATATAGTATTAGCTCACATTTCTATTAAATCACTAAAGAAAAACAAAGTGCTTAGCAATTGGCCTGAGAACCCCTAATCTAAGGGAAAAATCTTAAAGGGTGTTGTTATTTAATAGCCCCTTACAGCAAAAGCAGAAAATATAATGAAAGGGAGAGCACAGTTTAAGTCAGCTAGGTCACTGTTAAATGACCTAATTTGTATGATAGCAATGATGAGTGGGTCTATAAGTAGCAGACCCTAAGGTGACAACAGTGGGGCTTGTGGCAGAACATGAAGCAAGACAGCTGAAGCGGGATCTGGGGAAATTTCTGATGCTAAAATGCAAAGCAGTCCGTGGTTTCGGGCAGTGAAAGCCTCTCAGCACGGTGTGTCACACCGCTCGGTCACGCTCACACGCACCTGATGCACAGTTCTAGCTGCTGCCTGGCCGGGGATGGGAAGAGGTTTCTCTGCTTGTGGGCTTTATGTAGTAGGTGCACACTAAGCCCAGCTGGGTCTCCTATATGTGCACGACATGCATAGGAAAGGCAGGTCTGACATGGCTATGGACCCAATGAAATTTTCCCCTATGCACCCAATACATTTTTCCCCCTTGTCCAAGGGCCTTCCACCTTTGTGTGAGTAGTTACAACCTTGTGAAGGAGAGTGCAGCGAGGGCTGGCAGGGAGTGTGCTGCTGCCTCTGGCTCTGCAGCAGATAGTTGGCCCCGGATGCCCAAGGGACGGGAGTACAACTTACTAGAGCAAGCTGTGGGCTAGACAAATTGTCCCAGATTTAGACCATTGATTGAGTAATCCTGACTGAAGATGTGTATTTGTGTATGGACAGATATCTGGGTGTGTGCATTTGTGTAGGCAGGGTGGAGGGAGAAGGAAGCAGAAATGTGATTGTTTCTAACTGTTTGTAAAAAATAGTATGATTAACACCAAAGTTTGCATGCTCTTATACTGTAATGATTGTCATTTTAAAACTAGCTTTTTGCCTTCGAGCTATCGGGGTAAAGACCTGCGGGAAAACTACTGTCGAAACCCCCGAGGGGAAGAGGGAGGGCCGTGGTGTTTCACCACCAGTCCGGAGACGCGCCATGAGGTCTGCGACATCCCCCTCTGTTCACAAGGTAACCAGCACGGCTCACGCGGACAGTTGCCTTTTCTCTGCTGACAGCAGGTACACAGAACAGGTACAATGAAACAATAGTTGCAGTGACACTTGCTCATGGACTTTGGAGAAAGAATAGGTGATTTCTCAGCAAGAATAACTCGTGTAGCAAGAAAAGCAGTTATTAGAGAAAGAGGAGATCTTGTTATGTTCCAGTACTCTGGAAAACCTGAACAAGATTTCAGGCTCAGCAGCTTTTTTTCAGGTCATGGGGGAGCCGGAACAATGAAGTTGTGCTGATTGCGCAAATGTGACCCTTTTTTCACTTGTCTAGTCCATAGTGAGTCCATTAACAATTTCAGTATTACTATGTGATAAAATCACCTAGTGCCATTCCATTGTAAAATCAACTTTTCTTCTTCTTTTTGATGAAAATATAGATACTGAATTACAGGACAAAAGCTCAATCTAAGCGTGCATTTTGTTTTTCAAATGAATACTGTAAATAAGTAAAACTTTTTATAAATCCAGTCCCAGTCGAATTTCAAGTCGCAGAATTCAAAAGACACTTCATGTGCACCATTGCATTTGTTAACTTTTAAGTTCTGTTAACCTCTAAACTAAGCTCTTGTATCTTGCTAATCAGCCAGTTCAGTTCCAGTCACTCAACCCATTTAAATTCTCAAGATAGGATGCCTTTAATTTTCCTGTTAGTGTGTCATGTGCAATAGCTATGCAGTGGTGGGGGAAGAAAAGGGAGAGGAAGGGAGAGAGGAAGAGAATGATTTATAAGGAGCTTGAAAATCTATTAAAAGCTAACATTTAAAGATCAATTTAAGTGAGCTTCAGACCTGGAGCTCACTGCAGGATGAAGACTTTGGTAGCGGATGTTTTGACTGAAGAGTGAGATCTATAATTGCATAAATTAGTATTTACTAAGTGATCCTTCATTACAATTACTCTAATTAGGGGGCACTTGAGAAATGTGTCTATAGTTAATTATGGTGAATTTATTTTATATTTTAAGATTTCTCATTCTAAATTATGAAGCATATTTTGTTCGACAGTGATTTCAAATCCCTTTGGTAGCTTTTGCCCACTCTCCCTCCACCCCGCACCTTCCCAAAACAGGGCTGAAAATGTACCATAGTTTAAGCTGCCAAAAAGAATTAGTATCGAAAAGAAACGGTATCATATGTAGCTGAAAGTGCTGGGAATTTAAAGAGACAGACTGTACTGCATTGAAATTGTGATTCAGCCATTGTTCTGTACTTAAACTTGTGCTGTAATTATACTATGACTTAGAGTAATTTAGAATAATGAATGTTACTTAATTAGAAAATATCACCTCTAAAAAATACTCCTTCCTTACATATGTGTCTCTCTCTGTTACTAACCATAAGTAAGGTTAAAAATCTGCTAGGAACATGAATGCCTCTAGCAGCTCACACCTACCTGCCTCGAAACCATAAGTGTCCTATAAAGTGATACCAAATTTAAGCATCTGGATTAGATCTAAGAAAGAGTACAATTCAATTCCAAAGGACATTTCCCATACCAACCTAACTAAAAGATATCACTTTTTTATACCTCTTTAGGTTGGTTTTAATTTATAACAACAGGAATATGATTTAATTATTTTAATTTTTTTTTTGCGCTACAAGTCATCAGCATAATAAATGACTAGTACCTATTTTTTTTTCCTAGTTGAATGCATGACCTGCAACGGAGAGAGTTACAGAGGGCCAATGGATCACACCGAGTCGGGCAAGGAGTGTCAGCGCTGGGATCTTCAGAGACCACACAAGCACAAATTTCGTCCAGAGAGGTAACCTCTCCTCCCCCCCAGGCAAATCCATGTGGTTATAATTTGAAAATTACACACATTTTGGAACCAGTTGGGCAAAATCAGCATTAGCTGAACTGAAATTTATGGAGTTCACCAGTTTTAGTTGCTTGGGCTTCTGGCCCATGGTGTGTGCAGACTGGCTACCATCACAATGGAGATGCAGCATGGGGACTAGAGGCTATTTTGCGCAGTCGTGCCTACATCCCATGGCTATGTAGTGCAGTGATGTACATGCGCTGCATTAATTGATCAAAATTTCCTCCCTGCTGACAGTAAAAAATTAACCTCTGAATGTTTCTGTATATGTTGTTATGCAGCTTCAGTCAGCTTAAAATACCTTAAAGTAATCACAAAGTAAACAATGATTAAAAGTCATAAATTTTTGTTAGCGTTCTTAACGCAATTAGTGAATATAAACTTGCAAATTTGTCAAGTCAAAGTATGCTCCTTTTTTGAAATATTGAACAGCTTTAAAGCTGTAGATGGTCTTTTGTTGTAATCAGGTTTTAGTATCCAATTTGATTAACCAAAATGTTTGCCCACTACATGTGTTTTTTCAGCCTGGGAAAGGAGTTCATCATTCTGTTTAGCATTTTATGCACATGGATTTATATTTTAGACTTTTTTTTCTTTTTTTTTAGTTTAGACATAGGTACATAATGCCAAAAGATGAGTCAGAAATAGCAAGACAAATTGCATCCCCGTTAGGGTTTGTCCTAGAGTGTAAAATTCACCCGACCGCAAAGGGTCATCTATAATACACCCTTTTGGAAGGATTTTGTGTGGGGGTTTAGGCCACACAGGAGGGCCTTTGTGTTTCTCTTAAACTGGACTAAAGTTTCATTTTAGTTTTACTCTGGATTTTGGATTAACTCCATCGGTTGAATAAACGTAAACTGCCAGAGGAAGACTGCAAGAATCAACAAACTCACAAAGATTGAGACCTTCCACTGAAAGTATCTTTATATATGTTGAAGCGTTCCACTAAATAAAGCATCATTTTTGTACTCAGAAATATGGGTACTGGTAGATTTTAGAAAGCCTGATTATTCAGCAAAACATTAAGGATCTGCAGTTTTGGAGTTTATGTGATATAACCTCGTTTTCCTCTTGGCTCAGACGATATGCTTCATGAATAATAGCAGGCTCTCCCATAGTTCTGCTACAGTAAATATTTTGTATTAGCAGACTGGGACTGAAGATAATCTGTTTCTGAGTTTTGCCATGCACTTGCTGTGCATTCTAGAATAAGTCACAGAAAGAATTTTTTTCCTTGGGAGTGAAACATTTATAGAACTTCTGGGTGCAAACAATAATAATTTTACTGTCAGGAGGAAATTTCTTTTTTCCGTTAATTTTGGATTGTTTGCAAAATGACTTTTCAGACTAACTGCAGTCTCATGAAAGATAGCCTTCCTCAAAAAAAGATTTCCTTCAGAAAATGTCTTCGTGAGAGTTTTCAGACTGTAATAAAAATGCTTTTTTATCGAAAAACGACCCATCCAGATTGAACTGATCTGTATGTGCTTTCAGAAGAGTAACTGGGGTCCAGTGCATTTCTAATACCCTTATGTTAATTAACTTCATGGAATGGTCACTAAAGGTAGTGACAATTATACTTTGATTATACTAGCTTTTAAAAATGTTGTGGGCTTTGGTTTGTTTGGGTTTTTTTAATAGTTATTTAAGTTGAAAATAAAAGAGGAGGTTTGGAACAAACGATCCATTAAAATACAGCAGTCTCTAGAGAGGCTTATACTATATCATCTAGGGGTAATGTGAATAACCTGGAAACCAGGAAGGACTAGCTGGACAGATTTAAACTTACTTTCATTTATGGATTCATCAGTTGCAATGACAAAGAAAGAGAGGTAAAACTAGTAATTTTTTTCAAATGCTCCAGTCTACCTGCTGTTGGACAATGCTTTCAGCTCTGGGTGAATACATCTCACTTTTCTTTTTTGTCACCTCAATGAATTGTTCCACATTTATTCCCTTTAGAGGTCAGTTACTGAAGAGAATTGATAATACCTGTTTACTTAGATGTGATTGAAGCTAACAGTAGGAATCCCCACAAACAGCTCCTGCACGACCCATTTTTAGCTATTAGTGGATGCAGAATTTTATTCTGAAGCTCCAGTTCTCTCGTGTACTCCTCATGGGCAGGGTTATGCCTCAGTATGGAAGGAAGACCATTAAGGATAATGACTTAGATAGGCATAGAGCAATGTAGAGATGCAACAGTTTTCTCCTCTTCTGCTCATACTTTCTGCTCAAAATCAAATATGCTGTGAAAATAGGTACTTATTGCATGGAGGAAAGTAGGGTTGAAGAGTAGTATAAGAGCTGAATAACTGCAGGTATCCTTTTATTAAAATACTCTGGTTTATATCTCTTGTATGAAAATTTACTTTATACAAAATCAAGTTTCCAGTCCTGCATGTCTTTTAAAACAATAAGAAGGGGAAAAGAAATATTGATGAAGAATTTTAGACAATAAGTTTCAGTTTAGCTCCAGCAGACCTAGAGATCAGCATCTGTCTCTTTAAAGAGAATAAATGTTATCTCTTTGTCTAACAGTCTTTTTTCCCCCCCTAGAAACTGAGAAAGTCTTGATTTTGACACCAGATGTGTATCTTAATGCTTCATTTCAGTTTCAGCAGTGAAATACAGCTACTGCACGTTCAAGGGGAAGAAAAAAAAAAGTAGGGTTCTGAAAGATCTTGGAAACCTCAGTCTCTTTGTTGGGTCTAAGCAAGAGGTCTGTGCCCAAGTGTACTGGGAAAGGAGGAGTGTGCAAAGCAAAGGGACGAGCTCTCAGGGAATCCTCCACAGCCCCACTGTTGAATTGTGTGGAACAGTTTGAGGCCCTGTTGTTTATCTTATCCCTAATATTTGTGTCTTAAAGGTTAGTTGACCTTTTCTATAGGAACTGAGGAACTGTGGCTTGCTGGATATGAAGGAAGGCAGAAGCATGCCTGAATATTGTGGGAAGAACCAGTGACTGGGAAGGCTGTTGTTGCTCTAGAAAAGGTCACATAGATACAGTAGGTGGAAAGATACAGTTCACGGGCACTACTCCATCCCACAAAGACACTCAAAGCTTGATCCTGGAAGAACTGTTACATCTCTACTTAAGTTTTAGTTGGTAAATAACACATTTTTGACATACTGTGGGAACATATCATATAATATTAGGAAGGACAGAGCATCCACGTGCCTTCTAGAGAGTGGATTCTTTACATCCCCAGTTGTTTTGAATGGGTTTTGGGAGCTATGACTGCAGATACCTTGCCATTCCTGGACTCTCCTTGGTTCCTGGGTAGTGCCACGGACTCTCCATTGCTACATGACATGCAGCATGTGCTGCCAGCATCAAAGCTCATCGCTGCACCTACTGGGTGGCCAAAGCCACCTCATTTTCTGTTATATTATTAGCCCATTAACTGTTTTCTTGTGAAATCCTTGGACACAATTTGTTCCTTTACAGTTTGTCTTCTATCAAGCACAAAACAAGGTACTGCTGTTAGATCTGAAACTACCACATTCTTGACTGCCCTTGAATTCTCAGTTTTGTGAGGTTTCTCCTTGGTGGTTTTGGTGGTTGGTTGTTTTTGTTTTGTTTTGTTTTGTTTTTTTAGTTCTACTTAAATCCTGTCCCTGTCCCTTGTATAGATGAAGGAACCTGATTTTTCCCAAGGAATGGGAGATCAAGTTGCAAATTCGTGAGTCAAAATTAGGATGATTGTTTGACAGAAAAAGCATCCTAGCAAAAACACAAGCTTGTAAATCATATTTTCCTCTGCTTGTGTGAAACACATCTGCTTGCAGTTGTAAATGGGTTCAAGTTCCCAGGTAGTTAACTTTATTGTTCTCTTGCATGCTTTTCATGTTTCCTTCAGGGACAAATCTACTTTTTGTTTCTTTTACAAACATGTTTCAATAAAACTGGAAAACCAAGACAATTTGTATTCACTGGAGAAAAAAAAGTATGCATTTATCTCCTTCTCTTTAAGTTTATAGATGTTAATATAGCACATTTATACAAAAAGATCCTCCTTATCTTGAATATCTGCCTGATCATTGAATGATGACAGTAGGAACGTGGAAACAATTAAATGGCACAATAGTTTCAAATCTTAATGAGATAAAGCGAGACGGAAGTTAATTCCTTATTTTTCTCCTTTTTTTCCCCGATGCTTGAAATGAGGGCATGACCTAGAATGAGCTCTGTTACAAAAATGGAGCTATCATTAGTAACATAGCTATTCAAAATAGCTTCCAGTTTGAACCCAGGGCTGTTGCACTGAAGAACCTGTTTTCTTAATGAGTCCGGCATGCCAGGCAGTGTTTATATAATCCACACTTAATTGGGCTGTTTTAAAAAAACGAGTGGCTTTAGAGTCTGGTCATCAGTTGACAGACACAAGAGCAAGAGTTTAGCAATTAGCAGTTACCCCATCCGGTATCCTGTGCATTAGCACAGCAGGGAATCCCCTCAGTGGAGGTCTGATTCTGCTGCATATTTGGAAAGACATTTTTTGTTATTAACTTTCTAATAGTGTTAAAAGAGTATCTGCATCCATCTCACAGGATCAGACCCAAGGTTAACGGTAACTGGTTCTTGTTTGCCTCTGCTGAAGACTGTCCTTTAAGTACCTTGTACAAGTTTGTGCAGTGTTGCCAGGAAGACTTCCCTGACACGTTTCTCACTGTGGTTTGCAGATATCCTGACAAGGGCTTTGATGATAATTACTGCCGCAACCCTGATGGCAAGCTGAGACCGTGGTGCTACACTCTTGACCCTAACACCCCCTGGGAGTTCTGTGCAATTAAAACGTGTGGTGAGTTCAAGCAAAATTTATTACTTCCTTTTCCTTTCCAAAATCTGGACACAGATAGTTCAAGCAATATAGGACCACAGCTAGTTCATTCATTGCACTTCACTGACTTTTAAAACATAGCTTTCAAAGAGGATCTCCTATAAAAACATTATATTTAATCTGGACAGGAAATAAAAGAGTTGTGTGCTACTTAGCACTGGAATATCTTACGTACAGGAAATTACATTAAAATGTAGGAAGATCAAGAACTAAAAAAGTGAGGCAACATCATAATGAAGATCTCATGTACAGTATTAGTTTGGCCATGCTGGGCATCTGCATTACAGTTTGGGAGTAGGTGCATGCAAACTTTCCCTACTCAGTGCTCTCTCTGTCAACAACTGTTCATTGCTTTGTTTTCCTCTTGCACATTGTGCGGTTCTAGGACTCGGTTCCTGCACACTATTCAGCCTTGTGCTGAAGACAGAATTATTAATTTCCTTATGGGTTTCTCTGTGATATTCAGCACTCCAGTGTCAAAGCACTCCACAGGCAATTAATTTATTTTATCTGTCAAATACAAGATGGTGGCTTTGGTTATCCTTGCTTTACAGATAGGGAATTGAATCAAAGTATCATTAAGGTATACAAATATTGGATGCCCACTTTGAGATGCTTTAGTTCAGAATTTTTAGAATTTTTCAGAATTCTGTGGCGTGTTCTATCTTCAAAGCCCAGATCCTCCTAACTTTGGTGGTAGCTCTGACAGCTCTGTTCTACTGACAATTAGATGTCTTAAATGAACAGTACAGGGACAATGAGGAAGGTACAACTATTGGACCTCCCTTGAAAACTTGGGCAAAGTAATTTTTCTAGACTTCTATGGTAATGCTGGGGCTGAGGCAAGTGGTAGAATTAAGTTTTGTTGGGACATGTTTTAATCAGGAAACCAAGATTTGCATCCCTGAAATTCCTTGTGTCATTCACAGCTTGTAGGATGTACAGGTGATAGTCTCCTCTTTTATCTCCCATACTTCTCATTGGCAGATTTGGGGTCCAATTTTTTACCCTTAGCGAACTCACAACATGTGAAATAATCAATGTACAAGCATGATATTAAAGGCAGCCTCGTAATACCTAGGCAGATATTTTTATTCTCTTTACTCAAAATACTTTGCTTATAACATCTTGGGAATAAAGGAAATTTCTGAAAACAAGGCATGACTTTAACTGAATCCATACTGTAGAAGCCTGTCAGCTTCATGTGCCCCAGCCCTATGGCAGAGCCCCCAGGAATACAGGCAGAAAAAGGAAAACAGTATTTTTGGCTTTTCCGTGAAGTAGAGGCAAATGAAACCTTCTAAAACTGGTCAGTGAAACTCAATGTCATGTTAGCTCATGAGAAAGTCAGTTTCTCTTAGATCTGCAGTTTTGGAAACTACAATTTCCTTTGTTGTTGTGCTTCAATTTTGACCAAAATTAAGTGTTAAAAAAAAAAAATCCTCGAAACCAGACACTCTGCTTTTCATCTAGATCTAAGTGTCTCTTCAGTAGGCTTATGTCATTATAAGACCAATTTGGGTTTCTTGGGAGGAGGATAGAAGAAGAGAATAGATTCTATTAAAAAGAACAATAAAGCTTACCTGGAACCAGATTTACGTGAGAATTCAAAAAAGCACAAAAAAAAGAGAAAAATAATAATAAGCATAAAAGGAGTGTTTTTTAATGACTGTTTAATTTTTTGAGTTCTTTGTATTTTGTGGTTGTTGTTGCAGTTATATAAACCAAGATAAACCATTAGTGGGGTACCCAAAATCCAGATAAAATAGAGACGGTAGTGGGTCTTACAAAAAGTCTGTTTCCATAATGTAATCCTGTATTTTTCCTATAATGTCAGCACATGTATAAATACTGGGAGGGGGGGAAAGAAGAGGGAATGGCTCTGGCAGGAACCTTTATGTGTGAGCAGCTGCTACCTAAAGGGGGAGGCATGGGATTCTCCATCTTCACTTGGAATTCTTACCAAACCAAATTATGCCATGTTTTCTGCTTCCACCACCAATAGGTCAGAATTTTCTCTCCTTGCTTGTTATTGGCTTAGGCCAGTGTAAAGTCTTGGAGTGTCAGTCACTCTTTATCAATTAGTGAATTGTTTGAAATCCAAAGGTTGAGCAGGAATACTCTTAATGTACTTCCTGATGTGGAGCAATTGAACTTATTCTGCACTATTGTATGTCATTGTAAATCCAGTATAAGGTAGTTAAAATTAGCAAAATTATTCCACTGTAAAAAAAGTGAGTTTAATTTGCTACTTTGGGCAATGTCTGTAATCAGGTTCTCCGGAGACAGAAGAAACATAACAGGACTACTGCTTGTTTTGTGTCAGGCACCCATTAAGTCACACCCATGTCGAAAGTCTTGCCTGTGAACTACAGTACTAACTCATGTAATTGTATCTACAGTTATTGATAATCTTTGATAATGGGGACAGTTCAGGCTTTCCCCATTGTGAACACTGTCTTGCTTAGCTCTATAACTGAATTGCCTTTCCAATTTTTTAGTTAATTCATTAAGTTAGGCATTGTTGTTGTTTTGGATTTTTGGCTTCTGATTTTTGGGTCTTTTTTGTTTGTTTGTTTTGGTTTTTTTTTTAAACTAAACTGTGCTTCCTACATTTCTCTAATTATTAGATAATATATGAATCACATGTAGCATACTAGATCTGTTCTTTTCCCCCGTTAGAAGTCTTTTATTAAAAAAAAAAATATTCCTAAGTTACAGCTGACTGTTTCACAAATGCAACTTTTATAAACCTTTATCCTTTGGTATTTCCTGAGCTAATGTGTCAGTGTTCTGAGGATTCACATCTGGCTTTGTTGGTCACGTAAGCTTACAGTGCGTGCAGCTTTCAGTATCTACAGTCTGGTCGAAGCTTTATAAAATAGTTGGGTAGGAGATCTCCTGCAAACTACTGTAATGTCGCCTTCTTCTACACAAGTCACAATTAAAGTCCTGAGGAAAAGGTAATCATCAAAATGAAATTGAAAAAAAACCACAATGTAATGATTTTAATGTTGTGATGAAAGTCTTTTATCTCATTTCTAGGCAAAAGTTGACTGAATTAACTAGAAATTCTTTCTTTTATCTGCAGTTAGAAAGTATATTAAGATCAGTGGAAATTTCACATGCAAAACTGTATTTTCACTGCAGAAAACTGTAGATCTTTGGAAATTACTGCAGCAGTCTATATGAGGACGAGTACAAAAGTAGTGATCTTGAAAGTCCAACAGATATTTTCAAAGGATGTTTAGCACAGGCATATGGCATTGCCTTCTACATAATATGCGATGCTTCTCAGTGCTTTCCTTTATAACCCAGAGAGGGAATTTATTGCTGATATTACTGTTATATCACCAGCTCGGTGACCAGAATACCAACACAAAATACTGAAGCCCTGTTTTCAGTTTTCTGTCTTTCTTGAGGCACATAGAAAAACTGTTTTCCCACCTCCTAGCAGGGAGCCCAAAACATTAGGCCATTCTGGGTTTCAGTGGCTGCTCCATTTTCTGAAGCTGTGGCTGTGTGCAATCTCAGTACACTAAAAAGAGAACATCATGAGTTATATGTCCTTATAGCTTTGTGGTTTGGATTCTCACACAGGTTTTTAATTCCTATGCTGAGGACTGTTTATATATTTTACAAGAAATGCTAATTAGCAAAAAAGCTTTGCAAATCCAAGTCCTTGGACCATATACAAAAACGTAGGTGTCCTCTCTTCGGGGGAGTGACCACAAGGCAGCATGCTGCTTGTGGCTTTTGCTACATGTCATGAGTGTTAGTGTGCTCTGTAGCCAAAATGCTGACAACAGCTCATATACAAAATTTTCGGCAAAAAAGTCAGTGGAAGGAAGCATTCAGAAAATAAATATGTTTTTAAGACTGAAGAGACAGGAGGGCATTGTAACTTTATTTCCAAGCACAGAAGGCAGCGTAAAACATTGTGGCTTACAGCCAGGGCTCTGAGAAAGAGATGACAGGAGCAATTAGGGATTAGAGATGGCTCAAGCTGCAAAAATTGGATCTGGATTAAGACTTCAGGGACCCCAGGATTGGTTTGAAGTTGCTCACATATGTGTCTGTGGTTTTGGCTTGAGACAATTTGTAGTTAGAAGAGAGGATAAAAGGACAACTATAACAGCAATAAAGAAGTGTAGGATGAAATGAAGAAATGGAAGCAGTGACAGCAAATATGAGGAAAAAAACCCTGTTACTCTGGCATGAATGAGGACATGGACTACAGGGAAGACAGGAGTGGGAAGCTGATTTTAGGTCAATGGTGAAGCTTTTTAAAAAAAAGGTGGAGCTGCTTTTTAAAAAAAGAAAAAAGGATAGCTGCCCTTCTGTGGATGAGCTGTAGGGCTATGAGAGAGGTGCTGAGGCCCAGAAATGAAGTTACATATGTCAGTCATTTGAGAGCTGCAGAGCTATATGGAATGATTATGGTAAGGACAGTGTTTGGTTGTTACCTACCTGATTTCCAACCAACCCAGCTGATTTTACCATGGATTTAGCCTTTGCTGTCAGTACTTATAGGCAATATAAAGGAGGGACTGGAGTCCGAAAAGCCCTGAGAGAATTCAATAAGGGTCTCGGTTTGATGGGAAAAAGCAAATAATGAAACAGCAAAATTGAGAATCCAAAAATGAACCGTTGCAGTGTGCCTACAACTTTTGGGAAGGCAAAGAATCACTAATATTAGATTACTCATTCTTCAGAAGCAGAGATTTCAACTGCCCATTTGAATGTGAAGTTCTGATTAAAGAGTTATTTGTTGAATCATAGTATGTAAACAAATAAAAGTGCCAGTGTCCTGGTTTCAGCAGGGATAGAGTTAATATCCTTCCTAGTAGCTGGTACAGTGCTGTGGTTTGGATTTAGGATGAGAACAATGTTGATAACACACCGATGTTTTAGTTGTTGCTAGGTAATGCTTACACTAGTCAAGGACTTTTTAGTTCCCC